AGACTATGTATGGTTGAGAAACATGACCCATCATATCCAAGCATCATGAGGGTTAACTTCAACAAAGGATAGTACAACAATTTTATATGAAGAGAATGCAGCTTGTAATGCACAACTCAGATAAGGCTATCTCAAAAGTGACAAGTTGATGCATATTTTTTCAAGATTCTTTCATACATATGAGATTTAAAAGAATGACAACATCGATATCCAACAAATTCGCTCAAGTGAATATGTGGTCAATTTATTCACAAAAACACTGCCAACATCTACATTCAAAAAATTAATTCATGAGATTGAAATACGTCGACTAAAAGATCTTTAGTGATCAACATTAGGGGGAGTAACTCTACTCTTTTTCCTTCACTTAGATTTTATCCCACTAGGTTTTTCTAACAAAGTTTTAATGAGGCAACATTTATTTTTAGTACTCCAAAATAATTGTATTTTTTTCCTTCGTTTGATTTTTTTTATCCCATTGGTTTTTTTTTTTTTTTTGAAATAAGGTTTTAACGAGGCAGATATTTTGTAATGTATCATTCAAGGGGGAGTGTTGTAAAAAGTAAGTTTATTAGGTTTTAGAGGTAAATGACAATTATACTTTGCAGCCCTAGAAATTATTACTGTTATATTCTGATTCAACTCTATAAATATAGAGTTTTGGTTCTTAATAAAATACACACAAATCTATTGACTTTTCTCTATTCTCTTATTTTTTCTTCTCTTTTATAACCAAAAAAATAAATAAATTGGCACTTTTTGACTATGGCCAAACATCTATTATTTTAGCCAAAAGTGTTTTTGCCCTACCAAAAGTGCTTTTAGAATTTATAAAGCCCTTCCAAACGCATTTTGAGTGATAATAAACCTCAAAATTAATCATAGATTGTGGGATGTGGACTTCACTACCACCTCAATTGGTCTAAATATCGTAAATTCTAATGTGTTTATTCCTATTTTAGTCATTGTGATACGTTCAAGGCATTCTTTAATGTGTTAAAGTATAGAAGTAATTCGTTAATCCTATTAGAGCACTAAAGTTAGTTGACTTGAGAGTGTACTCAATATTTTAGGACTTCACTAGCTAAGTCAAGTGATTTGATGTTATTGCATTTAATCATGTCACCGTAACCAAGGTTTTTTTAGATTTACTTAAATAATTTAATTACTTTGAAAAATGTTACATATAAAATGGACTTTTGCTTGTCAAATAGGGCCAGTTGACAGGCCACCTCGATCTTGCTTCACATGGGATTCGCCGGATTCAAATCAAGGGGCGAGATGGCCTGTCAACAGGGCCTGTCAATTGGCCCTGTTTATATAACTGGTCTTTATAAAATGTGGAGTCATCCCAATGTAATGTTACAGTTGATATCGAATGAAATAATTAGATCAATTAAATGTGTGAATATAAAATTTACTTTATTGATTCTTTTTATTTTTCAAGATCACATATGTTCATTTATTAATTTATTTTTCCTTATTCAAAACCAAAACAAACGTGTAAAGTAGTAATTAATGCACATTTTTGTTGCCAAAAACCAATCTGAGTTTATGCAGACAATCGATGTGCTTGTGAATTATGGGATAAAACCTGTAAAAAGTTTAATTAGAAAGGGCATTTGTTTGTTGTTTTTGAGATATTTTCAATTTTACTCAAAACTTATTTGCTCTGATATTTTTGAAAACAAAGTTAAACTCAAAACATAAAACTTATTTTCGGAAATATTAAACAGATCCTTAAAATACAAACTAAAAATAAACTCGAAATTGGTAAACAAATCAAAAGGCCCTAACGTTTTGACATTTAGCAAAAAAGGAACTTCTTAAATGGCTATGTCCCAATTGTTTGTTGATTTTTATACACTTTATTATATCAATCATGCTTGGTGTTCAATAAATTCGACAGAACAGTTTTTTCCATCAACAAATTTTTGAAAGTAAAGGCAATGTAAAACTTGGTGTAAAGAAACATGTTACCCCGCCAATAGTAAGAGAAGTAAGGATTGATACATAAAATAACTTTTTATTTGATTGATAATCATATGAAGTAGACAATATTTTAGTCATTTGCATCGAGCTCAAATTTCCTTCTTTTGACGACGAATTGATTTGATAGCTCAAATATTGTTATTTATGATATTGATCCGATCCAAGATTGTCGAGAGGTAATTCATTCATTGAATTTACGAACGAAAGATTTATCATCTCTATGAGATTAAATCCCGAGTTATTGCGAAGTAAAGAGGTCGATGAGATTATGGAAGTAAATATTTACAAATGGCAAAATCCTTATTATGTTGGTGGGAGACATGGTTAAAAGTGAAAAGTATATAGTTACCATACTTTTAAATACATTTTCAAAATTAATAAATTTAATGAAAATTTTCAAGTATCATATGGTTACGTTTTTTGAGATCTGTAATAGATGGTGTGACCTATATATAATCAAACAAACAAGGGTATAAATACACAATTTTATGGTCATGATCATATACTAGTTGCAAAATCACACATGGTCAGTCATACATCATACAATTTATATGTCACAAATCCAGTATTAAGTCACAAATTATACAATTAACGATTTCAACCATTTATTAGCCACAAATTATTATTTATTGGTCACAATTACTTTTCGTTTCATCCCACCCTACCCTATCCTATTCTACTCTACTCTACTACTATCAACATCACCTCAAATTCACAACCACCACTACCATCGCAAATTTGTCATTACTTCCATAACTTGTCTGCCACTATCTCCACTACCTAAAATACTATAAAAATCAAAGGCGTCCACAGCAACATATCGTGATCATCACCTCAAAGATGCAATCACTGCTACCACCTTCACCTCAAATCTACACCCACCACCACCTCCACTTCCACCTCAAATCCACAACCACTACCTGTGATGATGTTAATGGAAGATGAAATTAACATGGACGATACCTCCACCACCACGAATTTCGTCGAGTTAAATGTTAATTCTTTGCCAAGCTACATGAATTAGATTTTCCTCTTCCATTAACATCTTAATTTCATCTTCATTAACATCGTCGATGGTGGGCATAATTGTAGTGGGTATATATATATACACGTGCGTGTTTTTTCTTTAAAAAATAATTATAAATTGATTATTGAATAAAAATAATTAGCTCATGTTTGAGCTTCATTCTTTAAAATCTCATTTTTCTTCAAATTCACTTTTAAACCTACTCTTCCAATAAAATTATTTTACTTGTAAATCCAAAAAAGTTCTCAATTTTTTAACCATATATTTTTTTTAAAAAATCACTATTACAAAATCTATTTTTCAAAAAAAAAAAAAAAAAAAAAGGGACTCAAACAAACCCTAATATCTAATTTTTGTAATTAAAAAACTTAAAATGTGAGTTTACGTTAATTTTCTCCTGTATTATTTCCTGTGGGTGAAAAGAACACTGAAGATGACAAAATGGGGGCACGAGATTAGTTTCCTGTCAACATTTGATCATTGATTAACATGTTTGCAACTTTCTTTAAAAAGAGATCTGTGATAGAAATGATATATTCTACGGACAACTTTTTTTTTTTCCCTCGAAACTCTCAGAAAAATTTAACCCAACCCTCGGGATAAAAGTAGGAGTTTTGCTACAGAGACAGGGTGAAATACAAGATTAAAAACAGACTACACGTGTCGATACATAATTAAAGAGTTTGAAAATAATAACAGCCAACAACTTACTGACACATTAGTCGATTTTTCATTCACAGTATTTTTGCCTGTCTTTTTATATTACACTAAAAACAGAATAAATGGATCATTACATGGTTAATTTTCTGATCACGATATTAATACAAGATCCGAAAACTTCCCATATGGCAACCCGTTTCTAAACTCAGACTACCGACACCAATTGACAAACCACACGCTTCCACGTGTCCACCAGCCAAAATCAAACAAAATAGGCAAGATTGCACTATTGCTCCCCAATTTATTGCCATAGTAGCACCGTTGCTCCTCACCCTTAATAAATATACAAGTTGGTCTTCATTATTTTTCATTTTACCTCAAATGTCTAACTATGAAACTAAATGTCCCTTTGATGTAGATTTTTTCTTATAATAAGTTTAATAAAAAGTGATTTTTTTTTTTTTTGTAGTGTATGATTAAAAAAAAGAAAAAAATTATTGGTCAATATGCAAAATTATTTTATTGGAAAAACGTATAATAAAAAGTGAGTTTAAAAAAATATATGCTAAACACGGGCAAAATTAATTTTGAGCTGATGTCTAGAAATTTGAAATGAGTCATAATTTTATGCGGAACACCGATAGTTTGATAGAAATTATATATCCCTTTAATCACGCATCTTGTGATAAATTGTCATGAACAAATTCTTTTTTGAATAATTTCACCTTTTAGTTAAACATGACGTGCATGTGACATGAATATATTAAATTTCTCTTTGACTATGCTAAAAATTAGATATCTAATAAAATTTTATAAAGATGAAATATGTGGTTAAAATTTGATAAAAATGTGGATTTCATGAAATATCTTATTAAAATTAAACTTTTTACCTTAATTAAAAGCAATTTTTTTTAACAAAATCAAAAAGTTAAATAACTAATTTTTATGTAGATGCTTAAGGTCAAATGTAGATGCAACTCACTTAGCCCTTACTCGATGAACCACCATTATTTAAAACTTCATTTTTTTTTTCAAATTCATTTTCAATCACACATTCTCTTAATAAAATAATTTTACGCATAATTCAAATTATTTTTCTACTTTTTGATCCCACGTTTTTCAAAAAATACATTTTAAAATCTATTTTATTAATCCAAAAAATGTGGTACAAACAAACCTTTGGTGCTAAAATATTGGGATGTGAATGCAACAAATGAAATGTTTGAACCTTGAACATAAATCCCATACTTTGGACCCTTGGAGTACAAAACATAACGATACGCCCATGTCACGGCACAAGCAAAACGCGTTCGACTTTGCTGCTGCTTATATATATACATACAGGAGAGAGTGCGTATGAATCTTCTTGTACACATTATCTGAGAGTGAGAGCTTACATTATCACTCTCTTTCTTTGTTTCCATTTTGAGAATTTGGGATCAAACTGTAAGAAAAAATGGAGTTGTTTTACTATATGGTGTTTGGGGCTTTGGGGACAGTGGTGGCAGCATTGGAGCTGAGCAAAAGTAACAAGGATAGGGTTAATACTTCTGCAGCTTTCAATTCCTTCAAGAATAATTACCTTCTCGTTTACTCCCTCATGATGGGTATGTAAAATATATACCCCAGATCTGTGATTTGCATTTTACTATTTTTATTTATTTATTTATTTATTTCTTTTTAATATTTACTTACTTCTTTTGCATGCAATGATTTTTAAGGAATTGGGATTTGGATTTTCGCTTTATTCAATTCTTTAGTATCTATGACTATGATATGTGATCTGATCTTCTGAATGAGTGAAGGATTTTTGCTTTGATGCATTGAGCGTATGCTTTGCAAATTTGTTTCCTTCGGATCTGGATCTCAGCGAGTTTGTGTTTTTCTATTCCTAAGGTAATGTAAGAGGATGAAAATGGTTGAATTCGTGGACATTCGATTTGGTGTTCAGGGACCAGGAGAAGCCTCAACATTTTAATTAAATTGGGCAGGATTTGATTATTTTGTTTGTTTAATTTGAATGAATTTTCGTTTAGGGAATGCACAGTGCTGATTAAAACTAAGTTTCACGGGCAATTGTGATGCGAGAGGCCTATATTGTTCTGCATTTAGATCCTGTCTTATTTTGCAGTTTTGACAGAGCTGTCAATAATCTCTATTTCAAAATGGGTTGAATTTTGCTCTTCGGACTTCTTTTTTCAGTCACTAGTTATTTAAGCTATTCCATACATCACCTCTCCCTAAAGGTTAATTCAGCTATTTGTGTTATTATGCTTATAAACAATATCTGCAATCAGTTACTCTTGATTCTTTACTACATTTGAACTATATAGCAAATTGCGACCCAAATTTTTCTCAAGAGGCGGAAGAGAGGATGTCGGCTTAGTTTTCCATCATTCATGCTTTCTATTTTTCTTTTACACCTTTTACATCTAGTATCCGAGGGTGATTAATTTTAAGTTGATGCAATGTATATTCATATATTATTTTTCCTATGGTATTAGCTGCATTGGACATCTACTAATATGAAATCCTATTGTCATGTAGCTATTTATTATGTTTATACTTGGCTTTTGGTGATGACTTTAGCAAATTGTTTGGGTTTTAAGAAATAATTGAAAATGATATTCTTTACTCTTGCTAATGGTTGGTCTTTGTGCAATAGCTGGTGACTGGTTGCAGGGCCCTTATGTTTACTACCTTTACACAACTTACGGTTTTGGGAAGGGAGAAATTGGGCAGCTCTTTATTGCAGGATTTGGATCTTCCATGCTGTTTGGAACCATTGTTGGATCTCTAGCAGATAAACAGTGAGATATCATCTTGAAATCACGTGGATTAAATTTTATAGTTCTATTTAAATTTCCCGTTTGACAACATAGTGAAATTTCAGGGGGCGGAAGAGAGCATGTGTGACATACTGCATCACGTATATACTGAGCTGCATCACCAAGCATTCTCCTCAGTATAAAGTTCTAATGGTAGGACGTATTTTGGGTGG